TGTAGAGCCTTTAATTTCATTGGTTGACATTATAATGCCATATATGGCATTTGCGCGTCATTGTTGCGTGGGTGAATCCAGAGCAATGTGATTGGCTCATTCAAGGGCGGTAACGACAGCCACCATTGTTTCGCTACGCACGCTATTGTTCGCACATGTAAGTGTGGTCTCTGATTTAAGTGACTGTATTTCCCATAAAGTAGCTGATGTCTTGCTGTTTTTTTAGCATGTGGAAGCCCCCATCTAGGAGAACACTTCGAAGACAAGCTAAGCGCGATTTTCTTGCGACAATGCGTAAACTTGAGCAGGATATGATGGAAATGTCCTCTTCTTCTGAATCTTCTACTAGTGCATCGTCCGCTGATTCATCCGCCAGTTCTTCATATGGCGATTCTGACTACAGTGTTGTCTCCATCGATGAATTGAGCAGTGGGGGCTCTTCGCCGACTGAAGTCCCTGTTGCATCGACAAGTGTCCCATCGACAAGTGTCCCACCCAATGCTGAGGAGCTGAGTCTGCGACAAGAACTGAAGTTGTGGGCAACAGAATGTAATTTACGAACAGATCATCTTACAAAACTCCTCAAAATCTTGAAACGTGTTGCGCCAGATCTACCTTCAGACGGTCGTACGATTCGGGGAAGATCAAGCAAGCGGACACCCGTAACAACTATGGGCAGTGGTGAGTATGTTCATATAGGACTTCAGAACAGTCTCGTGAAGCAGGTAAGTCAGCCTTCAGTGCATATTAGTGGAAACGAAATTGTTACTTATTTAGCCATAGATGGATTGACTTTATATAAGAAGAGGAAATGTTATTTTTGGCCGATACTTGGCCGAATAATGGAGCCTTTTGTAAGTAAGATATTCGCAGTAGGTATCTATTGTGGGAAAGGCAAACCGTCAGATGTTCAGGCGTTTTGCAAGCCCTTGATTAGGGAACTGTCTTTCCTCTCTAGAAGTGGGCTTTATGTTGAAAGTCTTGACCGCACGTTTGACTTTAAATTGGGAGTTATCATCCGCGATGCTCCTGCTAGGGCCTTCATTAAGCCAATTAAAAATGTTAATGCTTACTAAGGATGCGAGCGGTGTAAGGTGAAGGGTGTACGTCGTCCAAAATAGAAAAAAGGTTGTGCATGACATTGTTAGTAATGATAGAAGAAGTGACAAATATTTATATAGTCGAAAGGATGACTGCCATCGTATTGGCAGGTCACCCTTGTTAGCAGTTAATGTAGGGATGGTAACTTGTTTTCCTTTAGACCCCCTTCATCTTGTTTACCTAGGTGTAATGTGACGGGTCTTGAAGTTGTGGCTTAAAAGCCCACAAGGTACGAAATATAAGTTTTCTTCAGAGGCCGTAAGCACAATAGATGAAAGGCTGGAAGCTATTAATCATTATTTACCAAAGGAATTTAGTCAGAGAGCTAGATCTCTTAGTGACTGTGATACTTGGAAGGGCACCGAATTGCGTCAGTTATTATTATATACAGGAGTGGTCGTTCTAAAAGATGTAATTAAGGGAAATTATTGGAAGCATTTCATGCTTCTATTTACAGCAATCCGTTGTCTAGTTTGCCTACATTCCTATAAGGAGTGGGTGCCGTGCGCGACAGACTTGCTGGAAAGGTTTCTCGTGAAACACGAAGTACTTTATGGTCTACAGGAAATGGTGTACAATGTGCACAGCATTGTTCACCTGGCGGAGGATGCTCTACGTCACGGCCCTTTAGAAAAGTTTTCCTCCTTTCACTTTGAAAGTTACTTAGGGAAGAGGAAGCGTTTGCTAGGGAAGCCCGGGCAACCGCTGCAGCAAGCTGTTCGAGGGCTGAATGACCTAGAATGTCTGCCTCATAGTTTCCCAGGTCCTTTAGAATGGATTTGTAATTAAGAACACAGGGATGGACCACTGCCACCCACTGGTGGGTCCTTTACACAGTTTTAATCTGTCTCGAAGGGCAGCTTGCTTATAGGGTCGACACCCTCCAACGGCTCGATTGCCATTGATGGTAAGTTGTTTTGCGTTAAGAACATCGTGCCCTCATCCTCTGGTGATATTCAGGTGGTTTATGTTGCTTACGGGCATAC